AATCTCGTGCCTGTAAATCCGGAGAGCGTCATCTGGCACATTCCGCAGAGTCTTTAATGCTGATAAGAGATCCATTTTTCGCTCAAAAACAAGTCGTTGACATGAGAATGGATCATTCTAAAGGAGGTTTGGATTATCCAAAGATGAGTTCTCCCCATGACTTTGCATTGCAAGCCGGGCAGCCAATCAAGTTTGGACATGCTACAGGACCGCAGCAATTCAAACTCACGCAGTGTGTACTATCTATGTACCTTGGTGTCATGTGACTTGGCAGCTCTCCTCCCCTACCTCCCACCATACAGCTGTGAGTGGGGAACCTACAACTGGTGAAACTGTAGTCTCCACATCACAGCTTATTATTACTACTAGTAGGAACCTGGGACAGGTGGACCTGTACTGTATCGTTTAAAGTTTCCTTAAAACCCTGATACTAGCATAGCGGGTGATCGGCACCCCGGTCAGGTGGGGCAGTTGCTATGTATCGGGAAGTGGAGCCGACCATTTAAACAAAGAAAGAAAAGGTGGGTAGCTGTAAAACGCGCGTAATGCAATTAAAACTAAACAGCCTTGTGTTACGAACCAACAGAATGAGGCGCTGTCCAACACAGCGACGCAAGATGAAACAGGTGACCTGCGAGTTGGTAAACGAGGCAACAATAAGTCACGTGACCAAGCATGGCAAGGGACATGTCGAGCATGACAAGCAACATGCTAAACAAAGGACAAGATAGGTTGAACATGGTACAGCACCATGCTCGGAGCATGATAGGCGACATGCTCCGAACAGGTCAAGCAACATGTTGAGAGGAAGTTATATAAGGACGATCATTCATCATGTATCTAGTCTTTCTTTACTCGCGCTCAATTCGTTCAAGTCATTCAATTCATTCAGTCAAGTTACTAAGATACTTACTCTGGGGCTCAGTAAGACTTCTTACTACTAGTGGTATACTTCGGTATAGCTCTAGTAGGCGTTGCCTCTGACCTAGTCGTTGTCATCGTCCCTTAAAGCATTCTTGTTGTGTTCCGTGAGACCCCACCACGTCTGCGAGATAGGTCGTTCGAGGAAGAGCCCTTCGCCAGTTGGGCCGTTGTCTCGAGGAAAGGAGACCCGGATCGGTTAGATCGTCGCGTGCTCGTGAACGACGTAGAGTCAAGAGGACTCCTTGATCCTTCCCTAACCACCATTGCTAAGTATCGACGACTACGGTTGGGCCCAGCGCGTAACACCTTGTATAATAACAAAAAAATAACAAAAGTAAATGTATCTCCATACCTGGCTCAGGGTCCAATCCCCTGCCCTCCAACCAACTAATGCACGCCTCTTATCTGCTTATCTGATAGGTGTGCTGCCTGGTGCAGCCTAAGAGTTCAGCTTGATGTCAAGGAGGGAGGAACAACGCTATGCAGACTAAGCGTATTGGCTCAATCTAAGTAGCTGGGATGTAGGATAAGGGGTGCAGCTCTAGGAACAGGGTGCAAGCTATCACTGCACTTTCCATATTTGGGAGCCGGAGCTTCGAGCCACTCAACATGATGGGGAATAAATACTAATGAAGGCCTCCTATGCTCTTTCTTCCCCTTTCGCGCTCCCTTTGCCTGGAACTTTCTAACTGTCCAAAACCAAAACAAAAACAAAAACAAAAATAATTAAAAAAAAAAGGAAAAAAAAAAAGCAACCCTCACCACAAGCTGTTTCAGCTGCACTCGCTCCGCAACATCCTTCGTTTCGTCTCTTGTCTCTCCTCAATATCTATTGTCATGGCCGAGCAGCATCTACCGCCCAGCTTGGGGCCCTGTATTTGTGACAGGCGGCAACGGCTACATCATGTACCACATCACTGCTAAGATTTTCGAGGAGGAGCCCCAGTGCATCATCCGCTCGCTGGACATCAATACTACGCGCAGCCGGCATCCAAATGCCAACGTGCACTACCACTTGCCCGTTCGCACCCAATTAGGACTAGTCAACTAGCGAGGATCATGCAAAGCCTCTAGACCTCTAGGAACCGTAGTTAGGAACAACTCTCTCTAGAGAACGAAGAATGGAAGCTTTTCAACCGATGTCATAAAACCCCTAATACGCGAGAAATTATCATAACTTGCAGGTGCTAACGGCCTTGGTAATCACTTCCTGACCTAATTTGGCTTTGCCAAGCTCCCTAAGATATTAGAGCAAGTTAATTTGAAGACCATCAACCAATCAGAGGTCAATTTATTGTTTCCGGAAACAATAACTCAAACGTATATTGGTCGGGCTGTCTGGGCGGGTCCGGTGAAGTCGAGGGTGCGCTGGTAAATCGTATTTAATTGGATGTCTCGTTATGCAGGTAAGTTACTGCGCAAATAGCTGCGGATTGCCGCACCGGAAAATAAATGATTTTGTTTACAGAAAGCGAATACGAACTCAGAGGCAAAACTTAGAAACAACCCACTGGACCTTATCTAGACGTACTACTTGACTTGCATCAGTAAAGATTTACAGGGAAGAACGGGAAGAGCCAAGCCCTGAGCCCGAAATACTACTCTATACTAGTATAACTTTAGGACTTGACATGTAAGATGTCCTATCATCTGCGTATGTTGCCTCGTTCATGCAAGCCAGTTGCCTTGGATTTCACTCTCAACTAGCCTTGTGTAAATCGTTTACTGCCATGGAGACTACATTGACTACATTTTTGGGTTCAGACCATCCCCTTATGTGGCCATGACCATTGAATTTTCAGTTGATTCACAGCTGGTTCTCCAATAGTTGGGAGGAATATGCATCAGTGAATTTTCAGTGATTTCGCTGGGGACGGGTCTCCATCTCTTGAGAGAAACTATGCTGTGCCAGGTGCATTAGGCACTTGATGCTTCGAATTAATACCCATTGTGATTACTACTAGAGACAAAGCCAATTGCGAGGAAGAGAATGTTCAGAGCCTGAATGTCAGATTCTGGTCACCGAGTGTCTCCGAGCTATTTGGTTTGAGGGAAGTGGAACCACATGCATTCCAGTCTCAACATCATGAAGAGATCGAAGCTTCAAAGACCGAGCCTGAAGTCGACGAAGACTCCAATTGGCATACGTGACCCTTATCTCTTGGAAGTCGTTGCTAACAGTCTGAAAGTCTCCTGAACACTCATTTTACAAGACGCCACCAATGTCGATATGGAAACGAAGACAGTCGTGTGAGGCCCCAAGTGATCGGGCTGCAAAAAGGAGGGTGTATCGTCAGAGACGTAATCAGAGCCACATATATTTTTCTAGTCTCACTAGCTGCTGGTATTCTTGTCAGATGATTTTGTAACCAAACAATCTGGTTGCATATCTCGTTTGCTAGCTCAAGAAGCGATAGATCATGCGTCTGATACATTTCCATGATTAGGTTCAAGAATAGGTGTACCACAAGATCGTCGTTGGCCCCAGGTTCAGGATCAGAGTATAATTATGAGTACTGTTCCACAATATGATCCACGTAATCCAATATTTCAATCTCCGTTGAACCCCCATCAACGTGCCATCATCTTCTTATTTTACATGAGGACGACATGGAAACACTTAGCGCTACTTGGAAGTATGTCATGGAATTCAAGACACATGGCTGGATACCGTTGAGAGAAGACGAAGATTTCGACGCAAAAGATTTTGATCCCAATTTTTTTTGAGAGACCTACGGTCCCGTTTCTGCAAGGAGTAGAGGTGAATCTGCTCTCAAAGAGCCCCCTTATATTACTTGTCTAACTGGTATAGGTCGATACTATCCATGCTTTGTACTATGTGGTCCCTTATAACATCGATCGCATCCTGCCTAAGGTCCTCGCCGCCGAACTCCGAATCGGGA